TCTCCGAAAGAAACTTTATGGTTTGAAGCTTTCAACAACGCATTCTTCTCACTCTTCTGGTAACAGTTGCGCTTTCTTTCTGTGAACATTCCTTATTATTACTGATTATTATGTCTCACAAAGCAAAAGGTAAGCAAAAGGTGCGGGTTCCAGTCCCGTCTGGGATGAAAATTTTGCTCACAACCCAGCATTCTTGTTAACAAGGTGAACTGTGGCCAAAAACAGCAGTTAACAAAAAACTAATCAGCAACAATCTTGCATGACAAGACTAAGAAATTCATGGCAGTTTAGTAAGTTCATTAGAAGGCAAAAAGAAAGACGTCGAAAAATAAAGACGGCTTCGATATTAAAAAACAAAATTACCGAGATATAAACCTACTTTACAATCACGGTGCAAATGGCGTCAACCAACAGCGAGCTGATGAAACGTCGAGGAAGGAAAGCCACTACCAAGCCCAAACCAATACGCTCGTTTTCTTTTTTAGCTGTCAAAATCTGAACAGAAGGGTTTGTAATGCCAATAAAATCAAGACCAACAGCAAACTCTACAAACCTTTGTGGGGATACTTTCAATTTTCGCATCAATGCTCATAGAAAGGCGTTCAGAAAAATACGCTGGAAAGAACGCTGAGGCCGCAGCGGCGGCCGCAGATCTGACTGCAGCCGTGTCATCACATGCGAACATCAACAAACGGTCTTGCCATTTCTCGATCTAGATTACATTTTTTTCGTGAGTTTCGACGTAGAGGCTTATCTGGAGTTGAAAACCTACTGTTTCAGGATCCAAAGCTATTGGCACTGAAGATAAGCAGCGTATGTACGTTGCCAGGGCGAGACGAGTCAACTCTCCCCCAGATATTTTTAGCTTCTCACTCTCTGCTCGGAGCTTCCACGGCAATTCAATGGCAGGCGATAGGACCTAAACAGCACTGGATCGAACCGAGTTACTACAGAACAATGAAGAATTTCTCACTTCTTTGCTGCATGAAAACCCAGCTGAAAGAAGGCCTTGAATACAATGAGAAAGAGCTAGGAGATATCCATGACGGTGAATCTAAAAGTGTTCTTCCATTGAGGTAAATCATGAGCACTATATTTGAACATCAAATATTAGGCTTACAGGATTTGACGAGCTGCAGCCATCCAGAAGAATGCCAAGTTTATGCGACACGTAATCAGAAGTGAAGAGGAGCAAGAAGGCCAAGAGCTATTGCCGCTTGTTCGCGAACTGTTTCGTCCCAGTGAATCACCTAAGACACCGTCAGAACAAGACCGTGTGCAGTCACCCGCCCCGGGCTCCCCTTTCACCTGAGACACCGTCAGAATGATGCCAAGAGTATTTTACAAAGCCAAGCGAGTACCTTGCTCTCCACTAAGTGATCGATTATGGCATCAGCGTACTTTGGAAAACGAACAACTTCTAAGCATGCTTTTGTATAACAACGCCAACGATTGCCCACGGTGAAGTAATCCACTGAAACCGTTCCAAAATGAGATCAAGAGGAAGGGCAAAGTGAAGTTTGATAATTCAATGAAAGCCTACCTGTAGTCAGTAATGCGATTCCATCAGGAAAGTTTGCTTGACGACCCACATTTTCTTGAAATGCTGCCGACGCAGCTCTACGCAGATTCACTTCGCGATCGAATAATGCAACACACATCTATAAAACTAGCGTCTGATTCATTCACTTTGAAAAAACAGTGAAGTTCATGATGACGCGCAAAAAATTCCTCACCAAACTCGTGGCAACGGAATCTATGAAAGTCTTCAGCTCGTCGGGCTCGTACGCGCGGGCAAACGCCCACAATACATAACAAGCAGCATCGCGAACGTTGCTACCGAAAGCATGCCGTCCCATCGGTTCCTCATAGAAAAGAGCCTGTTGTACTATTGGAAATGCCTGAAAAATAGCCGATACATCCCATTCAAAAAAAATTAGTAGTTGATTTGTTTTTCATCAGGAAAAGATCATCCACATAATAATATCATGCATTCTATGAGAAAACCATCAAAAACCGTAGAGGAGCTGGAATTCCAGTCATACTAGTATTCGAGTGAATGCATAGCCTATCCGTACAGCCACTCTCCGAGGTAACACCTCCTAATTCCGTGAAATTCTGACACCAGCTTTTTCTGAGGATGAACGTTTGAGTACCGTCTTTTCAGAAGGTTCCATGGAGATGATTACATCGTTCAAATAGTATTACGCAGTAGAAACCCAGGAAAAATGAAGCTCACCCTATCGAGCGCTTCTGGGAGCAAGAATCCTCGGCGTGAGAGTTCAGCAAGTGCTAAGCAACCTCCATGCCACGAACAATGACCAGCCAACCGATGGAAATTGGAAGAGAGAATAGAGTCCACCACTGAAAACATTAAAAGTGATAACTGAACCAAGCACCAGAACTAGCAAAGCAAACCTTGGACGGCAAGCTCTTTCGGGAGACGAGCTGTTATCCGCCCTACACCTTTCGCAGCCGACCATCTCACCGTTGTGTGATCATCAGATAGAGCACATAAGACATTGCCAATTGCCCATTCCACCTTGAAGAACAAGGCAAGTCAGTCAAATGTCTCACGCCTTCACGAAAGACTAAGAACATGACAAAGGGACTTTAGAAGTGTATACACTTATTTAGTACTATTGCTCTCAATTTTTGGATATATTTACATATCTGGGGAACTGATTCGGAAAATTCCATAAGACCCGTGGTTCTAGAACAGGAGAACCCACCAAAAGTTGGTGTAGGGAATTCAGTCCACTTAGGCGTTCGCTCATTTCATCGCGCTGTATGTTAAGTGCGCTAGTGCTGCACTGTCTATGTACATAATGAATCTACTCATCAAAAATGTGAATTTCGATCCAAATCGACGCTTAGGAACATAACAAATGAGCTATAACTTGTTATGCGAATGCATCCTGAGCACTATTTTTTGTAAAACTTTTTTCACCCTCGCGATTATATAACATGGAACAATAAAGCATGCTTAACACGTTGACGACAGCGCAGGACACATACGTCCCGCACTTTGCAGGCCATGACGGACAGCGCGGGACGTATGTGTCCTGCACCCATTACACTCATTTTTTTCGCGCACGCGTGATTCTTTTTAAGTTTCTTGTATTCATTCCATGGAAGAAACCTTAGCGTAGCTACAAACATAGTGGCTCGTGAAATGGTCACGTATATTTTAATTTAGGAGGAGGATTTTGAACCGCACGAAATTTAAGTCTGATTAATTTTTCGTTTACTTTTCTCTTCATGAATGTGAAGGTTAAAATAGTAGTAGAAGTAGATACGGTACCTTAGAGATGACAACATATGTGTTTTGATTAAAATAATCAAAGTAAAATTAGCTTTTGAGGTCAATTGCAGCTAGTTCTGACAATTTTTGCATTTTCATTGTTATTTCAAGTCTTTGTATCGAAATTCCATTACTATACCTCCTTGCAAGCTTTTACTCACTTGAAGTCACTGTTTCAATTTTGCATCACCCATGTTTTATGTATTTAGCACTCAAAATCCGCTTGAATTACCTGAGGCGTCCGCGCTCGCAAAATCCGCCCGGCCAAAAAAGCCAAAACGCGCCTGTTAAATCACTTCTGGAGCGGGATGCAGAGCGACAGCAAGCATTGGATAGCGGGATGAGTGTGTTCCAATAGCTAGGACGAAGTGAGGAAACTTGGTTGACTTCAGCTCCGACCCCATGCATTCTTTAATCCTCGAAACATGAGCTGGAAGTAACGGCCTGTCGATCCTGCGGCTGTCGCCACCATCCGCGCCTTCCAATAATTGGACAGCGATTATATGCTCCAATTACCAATACTGCACATACTTAGGTTCTAATTTTAGCAAAGCCAAGTCGGTAGTCGGGAGGGGCAGTGAAAATAACCGTCATCACCGCGACGGCCCAAAATCACATTTAATCGCGATGTAAAGACACAAGCTCTCCACCTAAGATCATTATAAGCTGAGTCTCTAGAGCCGCACATGGACGGATTAAAAACATAAATGAAACACAACCGAGCACCAAGTGGCCCCGTATGGCATAGTGCAGACCATAACGCATGCAAACGCAAATACGATTCCGAATGGAAACAGAATGTATGAAATATTTTATCAAGGTACTATCAATAGCAAATGGTTGACCCTATCGTTTTATCCAAGCACTTATCCAGTTCGGCGACCTTCTCAACCTATCGAAGCAAATCCGCAAATGTTTTACAAATCTGGCATCATAAATGAGACCCAATGGGCAAATAAACCACTTCACTCCGGAGTCGATCATCTCATCTTCCTCCATGCAAATATCGTCTGCACCCAAATTGTTGTTGTTTGAACAATGTTGAGTCACAAATTCACTTCCATTTGCTTTCGGACTCTTGAGATTCTCTTCTAGACGTCTTCTTCCACGCCTGAATGGAACAAAATAATTAGAGGAGTGGGGGGACTAAGAACGAAGACTTATAACAAGATATTTCGGAAACACAATCAAAATGGAAATCGGTTTTATGACACAAGAAATTTACAATTCCATGAACTCTGTAAATTTGCGAACTAGTCAAAGCTAAGAGTACTATTACCGTGTACGCCAGGCGAGCAGTCGTTGGGTTTAAGGCACACTAAAGCAAGGCCTTGGCACCTTTTAATGAAACACTTCCTTGATCAGACGAATCCCTTGCTCGACTTTTTCAATGGAAAGTTGGTGAATCATGACTTCCGCCACGGAGGGTACAAGCGAATAAAGAGATGTTGTTCGATACACCTGACTATTTTCGGAATGATTGCCTAGGAAGGGAAAGCCGTGTCGAATCAAGCAATATTATACAGAATTAATAACGGTCGCAAAAGGACTCACGTGTTTAAGGATGGCGCATATCAGCACGGCATAGCTCAAAAGGTTTTCCGAATTATTCTTTAGATGATCTGCGCATTCCGAAATAATACTGGGGATAAGGGGTATACAGTCGTGACGAGCAAGACACTGCGCAAATGACTAGAAGTAGCTAGGCCGCTAAAAAAAAAATAACATAAGAATACAGCAATATGTCACAGTACTAAAGCATATGAATATGTATTACAGTAATTTTTCCAGGATAATAACGATTTGAAAGCTAAAGAAAAAAATTGAATAGAACTGTTTTTGGTCAACCTAGGTGCTACCAATCACTTAAGCTCGATTTAGTACTTCTAACAGCAGGAACTATAGAAATCATGGCATATGGCGGGATTGATAAGATCTATTGTATTACGCGATGCTCAGGTATCAGTACTCAAACCATTCCCTAGTACTTTTTAATTCTGAGGATTGGAGTTAAAATAAACAATGAATAAAAGAAACACGAGAAGCTCAGACTGACATGAACAGTAGACCATGGATATTTGAGATATGAGGTGGCTACCGCGAGAATTCGACTAGTAGTTGTACCAGGTTGATCTACGGGGTCGAATCTGGAAAAAGAATGTAGCAGCATCGAAACATAAAAATAACTAGGAAAATCGGTACCTTCTGAAATCGAAAGGATTTTTACACACTATCCATAACCACAGAAGAAGTACATGGCGCTCAAACAAATCACTGCCAACGGTGGTTTTGTACTGCTCTAACACGGTTAGTAGTTTATCGAGATAAGAGACCTGGAAATGCAAAGTTTTTTAGATACACTTTGGCGATAACAGTGGAAAAGTAGGGCATCAAAAATCATGAGAAGATCTTACGTGGTGTGGCAAAAGCCTGACGATCACTTTATATCCACGAACTTTCGTGAGATGTGCTATGTAACGCAAAGCGGTGATCGACAACTGATCCAAACGTTTATCGATACTGCCTGAATGAGAGAAACAGTAGTTGATATTTCTATTGACTTCACTGCTGGTTACTCACTCTCCAGACCATTTATTGCCAAAAGAGGGTAGAAATTTGTTGAAAACTCAAGTTCAAGCCTCGCCTACTTGAGATTTCCAGGAATGAAACAGCAAGTGAGAAGATAAGGATAAGAGAGAGAAGAAAAGGAGCTGCTAAACAAGGGTGGGGGAAGGGAGTGATGCCCTTATCCGACATTGTCTCAACGAGATCGCTAAGGAACGGCTAGTTTCTACCAGGATTCTAAAGCCGTGCATTATGTGCAACTCTAAATTTTTCAGAAACTAGGCGCTTTCAGAAAGTTAATTATTTCAGACGATGCAAAATCTCCTTTGAAGACCAACTGAAACTTAACAAACCATATGGCAAGAGCCGTAACTACGGCCTTCCCAATGAGACATAACTCTTTGCTAGCAACAAGCGATCGCATAAAGCGAGTCAGCTGTTCTTCTCAGCGAAAATCATTTCTGACACCTACAGAAAACTAATCGCTCATTAAATGGACACAAAATGAAACACTTCACAAGCTGACTAGGCTGCTGACTCGCATGCGTCTCTTAAGCCCTAAAATCTTTTAGAAACCATTTTGTAATCACTGGTATTAGGCTGGTGTCAGAGTCCGCGATCCGTCGCAGGTTTCGCTGATTTTCGCGATTTGCGCGATTCACGCGACGGA